AGGACACCCTGCCTGAGCTACGAAGCAATCCGAGATAACTGCTACTTGTGCTGGGCTTGGAGATTCCCAAACAAGGCTAAGCTGTGAATCTAATTTGGCTGCTGCTAGTGCCAGGCCTGGGGCTCACTGAGGCCAGCTGTTGCTTGTTTGAGAGGATTTAGGAAGTCGTGTGGTATGGGCCAAGACCAGCCAGTCATATGGAAAACCAGCTTGAATAGGCCCATAAATTGGGTGGGGCAGAGTCTCTGGGGATCTCCAAGGCAGGTCAAACAGTGTTAGCCAGGTTGATGGAGTCTCAGATATGGCACCAGCTTGCTGGCTCTATGGTTCCGTGGGGAGAGGGTTTAGAAAAGAGACAATGTCCTCTGCTCACCTTAATGCCTGATACTTAGTTTTTCTCACTATACCAGTGATTCCGAGTAGGTGAGTCCATGTGTGGTTCCTTAAGAGGAACTGATTGGGACTCCGGAAGGTTCTTCTACCAACTCAATCCCCGCTAGTTTTTGCAGCCAGAAGTTGTGAGGACTTACCTTTCTGGCATTGGAACCCTAGGCCAGGGGTGCCTGGTGTGGGTCTGAGACTCCTCACTCCTGAGATATCCCTCCCAAATTTTTATCTACTACACATGGGTGAGTGACCACCCCATTCCACATCTGTGCTCCTCCTATCAGTCTGGATGGATGTGGTTTCTGTAATTTTCTAGATGTCAGACTTCCATTCAACTCATTTCTGACAATTCTGCGTGATAGTTGTTCTATATTTTAATTGTAATTTTGATGTGCTTGTGAGAAGAGGCAAGCCATGTCTGCCTATGCCGCCATCTTGACCGCAAGTAGCAAAATTCCTTTAAGAAATATTTTTTAAGATTGTCTTAGGGTTAGTTAACATTTACTGAACATAATCTCATGGACTATTTAATTCAACCTTCCCCAAACCATTTATGGTTCCCATGTAACAAATGAGTAATTTGAGGTTCAGAGGGGTTAATGGGTAGACCGAGATCACAGAGCTGATTAGTAGCATGGTAGGTTCTTGAATGCACGCCTCTCTTCTTCTGGCTTTTACTACTCTCTGTGTCAGAAAGCCCACCTAAAAGTGCTTAAATGGAAAGCATAAGAGGGAAATAAAGGGAGCTGCTAGATTTGAGGGAAGGAGAAAGAAAAGCTTTAGTGTCAGGGAACACCGGGGATTGGTGGGGACTATGGCAAAGTGGAGAATTGCAGACAATATCTAAAATGAATAGCTGGTACTCAGAACCAACTGAATGTTACCTTTCAGGAGTGCTGAATCATTTACAGGATCTGCTGATTGTTCAGGAGAAACTGGAAGTCTGATTTTTAAATAAGCCTTCTTATTTGTTTATTTTAATATTAGTTCAAAAAAATCTTAAACATGAGGTATTTGCCTGTTCCATCAACTGGATAAACAAAACCTATTTGCAAGCCAAATTCAGCTCATGGACTGCTAAAGGCAACCTCAGCTTTTTCTAAATCAATAATATCAAATAATTTAATCTTATCACAGATGGCGCCTCAATGCTCTTATTAATTCATCCTGCAGATGAAACTTTTGCAATAACTCATAAACACTAACTGAAATTATAAATATTAATCCTCAAAATAATTTTGTTTTAGACATAATTCTATTTCCTACATGAGCCATGTATAGTAAGAACATGTCCAACTGAGGCCAGAATCCCAGTCTTGCTAGGAGGAGTTGTGTGAATTTAAGCAAGTAATTTGCCTCTCTGAGCACTTGATGTCTTCATCTGCACAGTGGAGACCCAAGAAGAGCATCACAAAGCGGAGCTAAGATTTGTGTAAGGCAATTATTAGACAGTACAGTACACAGAGCCTGTCAGGAGAAGCTTGGGCAAGGCCCCTGTCATTGCCTTTGCCCACCCTCCACCCCTCCATCTTCCCTTGTCTGTGCATTTATTTTCTTTCAGTATTTTGATGACCAACTTAGCTGATTTTCTCAAAAAGGTTAATGTAAAAGAAACACTACAACTTCTAACTTTGTCTGAAACAGGCTTCTTCACTAGATCTCTGGGCACCTTGTTTGGCAAAAGTCTTGCCTTGTGAAGATTTGGAAATACAAAGTAAAGATTTGAGCCTTACCCTACTAGAGAGGAAAAATCCAGATGTTTCCTTCCTTTCCTGGGAAAAACACAGTTCTTTCCTACCCTGTTTCTTTCCTCTGAGTCTCCTTCACTCCTCACACAGCACAGTTCTCGCTAACACTCTGGTTGTCAAATGTGTGGGTTATTTCTCCCACGACAACAAGCCAGCACTGGACAGCAGCTGGGTGCCCCACAGTTTAACTCAATTCAGACACTGTCTGCTGGAGATAGAGTCAGATCCCACAGGTTAAGGACTCAGTCCCACAAGACTGTCCCACTTCCTTCAGACAACATTGGCAAGCCCAAGTTATCACCTGTGCTTCTGATGCAGCTTTGAAAGACCCCCTCCTCAGGTTCAGTTAATTTGCCAGAGTCACAGAACTCAGGGGAACACTTATGGTTCCCAATTCATTAGGGCTACAGATATACAGCCAGATGCAGAGATACATAGGGTGAGGTCTGAGAGGGTCCCAAGCACAGCAGCTTTTGTCCCCGTGGAGTTGGAGTGTGTCACTCTCAAGGTGTGGGTGTGTTTACCCACCTGGGAGCTCTCAGAACCCCCTGCTTACTACTGGGATTTTGTGGAGGCTTCCTCACATAGGCATGACCAGTTATTAACTCTATTTCCAGCCCTTCTCCTTTCTCTGGAGAACAGGGGATAGAGCTGAAAATTCTAAACATTCCAAGCTTCCAACCATGGCCTGGTCCTTATGGTGACAGTCTGCATCCAGGAGGCCTCTAGGAGCCACCAGGGTGACCTCATTAGAAAAAAAGATATTCTTAGTGTTCTTATCACTGAGGAATGTATAAGGGATTTAGGAGCCCTGGGTCAGGAATGGGGGTGAGTTCGGATAGGGGCAAAGACCCATATATATATTTATTTTCTATTATTTCACATCTTCTATAGGTACTGGTTAGTTGAAAAAAAGCCAGAAAATCAAAACTCCAGTATCTCCCCTTCCTCTCTCAGTTGCCTAAATTCAACATGTTCTTTCCCACTCTGCACCAACAATTATGAGACAAGGTAGGTGATTTGGGTTTAGTTTACTTTAGTATTACTGGGGGTCAAGTGAATCCCACAACAATGAAAAATTAATACTGTATTTGGCCAGATAGATATTATTAAAGCTCCTAGATTAAATGGAACATAAATAATAGTCCATTGATTTTCTATCCAACTTTTTGTAATTTAGTTTAGAAGAGACAGAATTCTCAGTGCACCAAGTGCTTGATTTAGCTCGGTATATTCTACAACATTTTGTATAAATTTTTGGTCCATTATCTCATCTTATTGGTTCTAATTTTTTTTCACTGATGTATAAAAGAAAAGAGGTTTATAAAAACTTTTTCTGCTTTTTACTATTTGATCCCTGACTGAATGCTTGGTTTTAACAGTGAATATCTCTGCAAAGGTTACAGAGGCGCTCAAAACACTGACTTCTGCTAAGGATGGAATTCTTCAGTATTAGTAGAAAAATACTGTAGGAATCATATTTTAAAATCTGATCACGGAGATGAAACCAACTTTCGGTTCTGAGACTACCCAATGCTCAAGTGTCCCGTTATTCAGCAATTTCCAATCCCAGGCCAAATTAGACTCACATAAGCTCCCGTGATTGACAGTAATACACCAAAATTCACGGTGGCCAACCTCAGTCTCAAATCACATTCAACAACAGAGAGGGAACTTGCACAATCATTCCCAGGCCTCAGGTGGATTCCATTTTAAAGATCCTCTCTGCCCTAAGCACTGAGGATATTAAAGGCAATTATCAAGAAAATGCCAATTGTGCCAATAACACAATGATAAGCAGCATGAATTAGTTTCCCTCTTCCAGCCATTTCCAAAACTATCTGTTCATGACAGGTTTCCTATGAAAGGTGTAATGGCAAAGTCAACTTTATGCTCACACTATTTAATTTTGGCAGAGCGAAGCCAAATAATACTACAATGATGGGGTGCATATATCTTCCAGGCTACTTGTTAAACCCTGCCTGAACTAGTGCATAAAAGTAGGTCACTGAAAGCCAATGCAAGCAGGGCAGCTCCCCTGGCAGACTCATGAACCTGCAGGGGGAATCTTGCAAACAAGTGATATCTTTAAGCCAAGCAGCCGTAGATTTCATTTATGAATTAATATGAGCATAGAGATATATGGGGAGAGGAATGCATATAATATGTATCCTTAAACACATTCCAAAATAAAGACAGATGTGGAGAGATTTATATCCACATTTTCTCCAATTTACAAGGCCTCTTCCCCCACTCGCAATCCCCCCCGCCCCCGACTTGTGCCAGTAAGAAAGAAAAGAACTCAGAGTTCCAGTTACAATTCTGGGGACCTAGTGTAGTCAGTGTCTTCATTTTGTCTCCCAGCAGCACAGCATTGACCAGCCCCAGGCCCCTACCTCAGTTAAGACCACCTATGCTGAAGGCCAGCACAGAGGCATTAGGGGACACACATATGCCACCTGGCCCACTAGGATCTTGCATTCTGGAAAAGAGGTTCTCAAGTAGGCAGATTTCTCTCCCTAGTTGTCCACTTCAGTGTGAACCTCATTTTAGAAAGTGGAGCATGTATTTCCTTAGAGGCACAGAGTGCAAGGCCAGGAAGGAGCCTTCAAGATCCCACCAAATCCACACCCCTCATTTACAGCTCTGGGGTGTCCCCAGCCATAAGGGCTGCTCCACAGACACAGGAAAGCACAGACAGGACTAGCCTGTGGTCAGAAGGAGGCAGGACAGGGCAGAAAGAACATGGGTTCTGGAACTAGGCTAAGAAGGATTTGAATCACAGACATACGATCGGAGCCACATTCTCTCAACTTTCTGATCCTCAGTTTACTCACTTGCACAATGGATATAACTGCATAAGTTCACAAGCTGTCATCAGTCATTCAGTATTTAAACTGCTTAAAACCCAAAAGCACTTGCTAATTTATTTGGTGACAAAGTCTGCCCAGACTGAACTTACTGGGAGGTAAAACCTGACCTGAAGCAATGAGGCTGCACATTGCCCTTATTCATCTCATGGCAGTTGCATACCTTGCCAGACCCGGTGCAGGAGCTTCTAAGCCAAATGGAAGGCCGTTGGCCCTGTGTCATTGCAGAGGCTTCTGCTGCTTCTAAACCCCTGGCTCATGCTTGCTGTTCCTGCTGGAGCAGCAGGTTAGGCCAAGAAGGAGCCAGAAGGATAGGTCTTCTTTGAAGGAGCAAAGGACCATGAGTGAGAGTCACCTTGGGCGCCCTTCCACTGGCTTAGAGCGGCAATGCGGGTGACAGGCCCTCCAGCTGGACTCACTCACAGCTCACATTGGCTCAAATGAAAAATTTCACTGTGGTGTTTCCGGAATTTCCCCCCTCCCAACCTTTTAGATGGGAAAGGGACAGTGGGAAAAAAAGAGAGTCAGCTTGTAGCTTCATGGAGCTTTGTCATTCTCTACTAAATAATTAATCTGAAAGAAGGAATAATATCTAAGAAGAAAAATAAATCAGTTACTGCAAAAAATTCTTCAGGACAGACTTTTTGAACATGCTCTACCGGCTGGATTTAACTTCTGCTTGCCATCTTTTTCCTCCATTATTGGGTAGTTTTAAGTTGGGTTTGTGCTTTTCTTTCCTGATGTTTCAAGACTGAGGGCCTCCTCTTTTCTGAATGCTGATCTGTGAGGTCCTCTTTGGGTGAAGGGGAGAACATCTGGCTTTAGTACAAGATCAGGCCAGTCTCACAAATGGGTTAAGTGAGAAATATGATGGTGGAGGGAGAGGGGCAAGATCCTGCTCAAAATAAGCCCTGCCCCCCAGTCTTCTGCCACTCCAGCTGCTCTCCCTTGGGGCCAGACGGGTGTTAGTAAGCAGGAAGCAGCTGAGTAAACTGCTGTTTGAGACTAAGCCTCATCAGCTTAGTACTTTGGTGAAGAGACGCAGACAGCCATATCCTACATGAGTGGACTCTGGGAGATGGGGTCAGAACAGGGGGAGGCCAAGGAGGACACTGCTCAGCAGCAGGGGGACAGGGTGTCAAAGAGAAGTTTCTCCAACCTCATCGTTTCCCATGTCATTTTCAGGCAAGTCAGCATCTTCCCTGTTCCTGTCACCCGCAGTGCTGGTATGGCAGGGCTGGATGGCCCCCTTGCCCTGCGCTCTTCTGTCCTCAGCTGAATGCATGACACACCAGCCCACATGCAACAAACAGTTATTTAGCATTGACTGTATGCCAGGCCCTGGTCTAGGAAATAGGAAGAAATAAATACATCCCTGATCTTTAGGGACTCAAAACTTTTACCTGTTGTACCTGGAGGTGGCTGGGCAATATGATTTTACTGATTCTCAAAGTAGGTTTCACAGAACATGAAGTCTAGGATACGGGATAGGAAAGGGGGATGGGTTCTGTGTTCTCTCTAAATTTGAGAAACACTACTTACTTCACAGTGTTTAAAGGATCTTTGCAATAAAAGTATAAACTTAATTTCCATGACTTATTTGGGCCCAGAACCCATTTATCCTGTAATATGTCTTAACACTCTAATGTGCTTATCTGCCATGAAACACGCTTTGGGCACCAACCCATCAGCTTTATTTCAGCCAGATGTGCTTTAGAATTCAGGATTTTGGAGGTGCTGGATAGGTAATCTAGTACACACCTTTTCTGTACTATTAGTGATGGCTAAGGGATTTTTCAGAGAGCAAGACCCAGCTCCATTAGACAGTAAGGCCATACATACATTTACACATGTATGTACAAGTAAATATTGAATACCCACTATGGAAGCAACTACATTGAAAACTGGGAAATTGCAGTCTGCCAGGTAGGTTATGGGGAGCCCTGGCCAGTTAGGAAGCAATTGGAAAGTGCAATAAATACCATGGTTAAGGTGACCATACACCCTGGTTTGCCTGGGTCAGTCCTAGCTTACACCTGTTGTCCATGCATAATAGGTACAAGCACCCCCTTTCACTTCCATAGGTGTCCTAGTTTTGACAACAGATTTCATGGTCCCATTAGCTATAATGGGTGCAGGCTATGGAAGGACAGAGGAGGGAAGGTCTGGGAAAGCTTCCTGGAGGACGTACTCTTAAAAGTTTAGTTCTGAGTAACTGAGGAGAAGGAGGTAGCCAGTGGTGGAGTCAGCACTCAACAGAGAAGATAGCAAATGCAAAGGGTGAGAGAAGACAGGACTCAGCACAAGCAATTACATTGAAAATGGCAAGAGATGAGTCTCAAAGGGTCCAGTTATATCATGCCCTTCAGGATTTAAACTCCACAGGGCCTTTGAATGGTTGTAAGCAAGGAAGTACCATGATCTAGTCAATATTGCAAAAGAACCACTGTGGCTATGAATGGGAGTAGAGTTGGGATAGTGAGCTGAGGCTGGTCGGCAGAGCAATAAATCAGTAAGGAGACCATCTCAGCCACCAGGCGGGGAGGTGCTGGCAGCCTGGGTGAAGGCAGCAGCAGTGGGCTGGAGAAAAGTGGGTGTATCATTAATGGATGGATGAATGGATGGATGGATGGAGGGAGGGATGGAGGGATGGAGGGATGGATGGGGAAGTCTTCAGCAGGTGAAACAGACAGAACTTGATGATTGATTGATTGGCTGATTGATTGGTGGGGGAGAGAGTTGAAGGGCAGGCCCATGTGTGAGCATGGAAGTAGCTGATGGAGTCTTCCATGAGACAGGAGCATAGTGGGAGGAACAGGTCCAGAGGAGAGGGAGTCAAGGAGGTCAACTTCAGTCAGGACAAATGTGATGTGTCTTTGCTTGGTCTTGGCCTTTTCCAGAGTGCCAGGGCTGAAAGGGTAAAGACAATAGAACATTTCAAAAAAACCATTTAGAAACATTCTTGAAACTGAATGAAACAAAAGTCAAGTCAAAATGTACTGGAGCAGCCTGTTACTGGCACGGCGTGCCACTGGTTGCTGTTGTTTGGAGACAGTGAACTGAGCCTCCAACACCAAGCCCCTCTGTTTCGCCCTGCAACAGAGCAGGTATAGACAGGGGCCTTGGAAGCATCCCTCCCATCCACTCTGAGCACAGAAATCCCTGCCCTAGCCTGTGCTGTTGCTCACAGACCCGCTGAGCAGACCAGCCATTATCAAGTGGTCTCAGTCCTTCCTTAGGCTGGGGCAGGTTTACAGTTCGATGGTGAAATGCTCTCAAAGATGCATGTGAGGTCCCCTGCCCCACCCACCAGCAGTGTCAGCTCTCTGGCCAGTGCTTGCTCATCAGCCCTAGGGCCATAGTGCAGATTGGAGGAGGGCAGAGGCAAGGGGATTTGGTTTGTTTTGGGCCACAGATGGTCAGAGCTTTAAATTGCTGTGGTAGCCCTTGGATTTTCCAAGGATATTTCAGGTTCTCTACTGGATAGTCTGACCTTTTTTGGCTTTAGACTATTGCTTCACAGTTTATTAATATTATTCATCTTGGTCATGACCTGAGAAGTTAAAGTGACTGTATATCTGTAATGATCCTACTCTTTGTAGGCAAAGAATAAGACAAAAAAAAAAAAAAGAGGGGGAGGGGGAAGAAAGAAACACTCACGGAATATTATCAATAGGACTCTGCTTGGTAGTGACACTATAGTAGGTGGCATCTGCTCTTCAGCACCAATGAAATCATCTCACCTAAAACTGTCCCAGGGGCTGGAATGGGCCCATTGCCTGGAACCCTGAGCCACTGCAGGTGCACTGTCCACCCCTAGACACTTCTGTTATAATCCTGAGAGCCAGCCTTTGCATGCAAAGCAAGAAAATTCCAAGGTCAAGTTTTATTTTGTAAGTTGTTACAGTGAACCAGAGCCAAGATAACCCTTTTCAAGAAAGCATGGAAAAAAATTATTGGCCCTGAAAATGCAAATAAGAAGAATCTGAACTGTACACTTACATTTTACTGAGCAATCCCAGGAAGTGGATGGGTGTTTGGATGGTAAAGTGTGATGTGTTCTTTGGTCTTTGTTATAGCTTTTCTCCCATGTTCTCTCTGTGGATAGCTGAAATTACAATCATCAATGGCAGCATTTAGGCAAACAAAAATAATCATTTGAAAGCTATTTTCCATAAGCTCTTTAGTTCGCAATTCACTACAATTCTGCTCAGAAGGAAATGTTCCATTTTTTCCTATTGTAGTCTTGTCAGCAATAAAGCAGTGGCCAGTTCTCCACATATAACATCAATTTCATTTCAGCTTTTCTGAATAAAAACAAATCAATCAAAAGCCTAAGTGTATTTTTCTTAGGAAGACTTTTTTTTGGTCAGGCCAGAATCTACTGGAGAACTCCATCCCAGTTATACTTAAATGTAAGCACTCGGCGGAGTTTTGAGCCCTTCTGGAAAAAACAAATAGTCAATCTCTGGGAAATATTTCAGTCTCTAAGATCTCCTTTGGCATGGTGTGAATTCTCCCTTCAACCCAGGCTATTCGTAATTAAAGTGCAAAGGTCTATGGATGCAAACATTCTATAAACTAATGCACTATTATTTCATTACCACTGAAGGGCAAGATGCTGAGCAGAAACTGGGGAAATGATTGTACTGGCTTGCATGAATAGCAGCATTGGGAATTATTCTAAACCCCGAGGAGATATAGTCATCTTCACAGTGTAGGCAAAGAGTAAGAATTTGCAAAGATAACTCAAAATGATAGCCATCAAATAAATCATAGCTCGCTTTATTAACAATCTTCTAAATTGGAAAATAAAAATTTTCCCCAAGATGTGAGCTGGCTAAGAAAAAGGTCAAGCACATGATAGGAAAGGTTACAAGCACTGCCACCTCTTCTAGTCAGTGCCAACCTCCACATTCTTGGGCCTCCCCTACTCGCCAGCAGTTATCCCTCATCCCACACCAGCCCAGCCACTGGGGCAGTGAAGGGACTAAGAGATGAAGAGTGCTGCTGACTCACACCTGTGAGGTTCAGAAACAGGGGAGCCATGTTTTGCTTTAAAACCTCTAATGACATGGACTATGATGATTCAAAGGTGATCTGCCCTGGCATGAGTTTTCAGTCTATCAGACACTATGAAGTTGCATTCTAAAAAGTTTAATGTTAATCTGTGTTATTGCTTGCTGGGGCAAACACTAGAAGATGAGGCCATTCTGATGGTTATCTGCAGTCAATGGAATCTGCTCTGTCTGCTTTCCAGCTCCACAGTGCAAGACAATGCAACCTTAGCCTGAGCAAAAACAATTTATAAGGCCCCATCTGAAAGGAAATTGGGACCTGGAGGGGATGCCACCAGGCAGTAAACCTCAGTGGTCAGCGAAGGGACCCTGGGCACTACCTGAGAATGTCATGGCCTCTGTTCAAATGTCAGATTTACTCCAAGGGCTCTGAATGGCATCAGGGGCCCTGTGGCCCTACGGACACCAACAGAGGGAGCCCCAGAATGCTAGGCTTGGCCTCCTCCAAATCCAGTGGCACTATGTGCACGGGCCCAGGGCCTTGCCCTAGCTCTCAGGCAGGTCCTAGATGGATTATCAACACTCTTGCCACTTCCCTACCAGTCCCACCTCCGGACAAACACACACACCCTCCTTTGCAAACACTCTTGAAATCAGCAATGACAAACAGAAGCTCAGTTAGGAGAATATGATGACCACTAGCATTCAGTCAGCAGATGACATGTTGAATATGAAAACTCCCCAGCTTCATCAATTTTTGAATGTCCTGGACTTCCCCTTTGTTGGTTGGAAGAGCAGAGAATATCTGCCTTGGGTGAATTAGTAACTTCTATACTCCAACCTCAACTGGGTTCTGGGTTATAAGCCACATCTCATACCTCCTCAGCTATGTATTCAATTCCTAAAATGCTCAAAACACTACAGCTGATGAAGAGAACTTCAAAATTGCAGTAGAGAGAAATAAGGGATGAAATATCTCAGTTCCTTTTCCATGTTGTCACTAGTTTCCTCTTTTTCTTTTCTTTTTCCCTCAAGGAACTAGGGATACATGGGACAAAATATTAAAACCATTGCAAATGAAAGTCTCCAGTGCACTCTTCTATGGCAAATCTTTCCATACCAAATTGTCAATTATTCTGCTCCCAACCCAAGCCTGTGAATTTTGCTGCAAAGTTCCTGGGCTACAGTCCCCTATTGGGTTCGTAGCCTCAGGGATGCATGGTGCTGAAGCAGCCTCAGAGAATGCAGAAAAAGTGGAGTTCTTTTGTAAGAGGCCCCTGGTGACTCTTGCTGAGGCCAGGCATGTGGTCATGCTGCACGGAGCTATAGGATCAAAGTGAGAGGCAGGCTAGCCGTGCAGCAGCTAGGTTCCCACCCCAGCTCCACCACTCCTAGGTACATGGCCATGGGCTAGCTCCCTCATCTGTCTCCCTGTGCCTCAGTCTCCTCACCTACAAATGGGGTTAATTATGAAGCTACTTTCTAGGGTTAAAGAGATTAATCACGTAAAACGCTTGACACAGAGCTCCCAATATACTTAGCGTTTAATAAATACTCAACATCATTAATTTGCAGTCCTGAGCCAGAGGGTTAGAGACACATGAGCTTTCTGTTTTTGACTTTAACCCATATCAGAAACTCAATACCATTGCATACAATTTGAAATTTCCAGATAGAAACAGCAGGAACTCATTCATACTATAGGTAGGTCCATTGATATGAGCACATATTTATGTTCCCTATACCTGTTTGTACTTGAACAACAGGAATCTCACGGGTATTTGAAAACTCGTGGAAAGCCAAAGGGTGAGACTGTCTGTATCATTCATTTTTTCAGCAGAGAGTGGCACTGGGTTTGGCAGATCACCCGTCGATTATCACTTCACTGCAGGGTGAGGGAAAGGCTGATGAGCAAGGGCCCTCTCACCTCAGCTGAGCGCTTTCCATAGGCTTCAAGTTTTTGTCCAGACACCAAGGTCCCATTAAGTGGGTGGAAATCTGGTGAAATCTTGACTCCTTTCCAAATTCCATTTCGTAAGATTCAGGTTGAGATTCTGAGATTATGATTACTTATGATCATAAACTGCTAATACCTCCCACCCGTGAGCACCGCTGAGGAGTAGAGGGACGTGAATGGGGGAAAGCTCTCCATCCTGCAAAACAGGGAGAGAGGAATTCTGACTGAAGGTCACAATCAACTCCTGAGAATGAATTCAAATTGGGTTTCAGAAAGAAGCCAAGAGCCAAATTCCACAGAAGTTTCTAGAGTTGGCCTCAAATGAATCTTTCACAGAACTCCGAGAAGCAGTTGGATCTTAACAACGAGAAAAAAAACAATTATCTTTTGGGATGCCAAGTGCCACTTTATGTCATTTTAAAGAATGAGCAGACTCCCAGCTCTCCTCAGCTGCCTGCTCACAATTACAAAGCCATGGTAAATAATCGTGGCAAATGGCAGGTTTGATTTAGGAGAGGGGAATTACATAATGACTCGGTGCTTTCTCTTCCATTTCTGTGGCAAGCGGGACAGCTCCTGCCACTTTTTTGGCTTAAGTTCAGACCTGTGACTTTCAAAGAAAGGCCCTGGTGCCATTTATTAAAATGGACACACAAACACACACAGTAAATGTGCCAAACATTTTTATTATTTTTACAAGGAGAGAATGATCATATCGTGATGCATGGTTTAACTTGCTTTCCAGTGGTTTTATTTGGCCAAAGGATCATATTTGTCCTTGCCAATAGCATTTTTGAGTGGTTCTAATAGAATGTGCATCTTTTCATTTTCTCAGCACACTGGATTCTGAGTACACCATCTGAGCTCTATTCCTGAGATGTGCTGATATGGTGGGTACGGGCAGGACTTCTCTCCTTTTGCACCCATAATTCCCTCCAAGGTGAAGGCAGGCTTTATACTTACTCTGAAAGGGGTCTAGACCCTGAGCAATGAAGACTTTGATCTAAGGCTGGAAAGCTTCTTATCCAAACATTTATTCATTTAATCTTGCAACTCAAGAGTGACAGACCATTCCAAAGTGCTTTCGGAGGACCAAGAGAACACCACTGGGGCACACAGGAGGACCTACAGATATGACCAGGAGCCAGTTGTCTGCGATAACCACTCTCCAGAGAGAAGCTTTGCCTCTCAGAGAGGCAAGAGGGCAATGTAAAGCATTCCTAATGCAGGCAGTCTCCTCTTGGGGCTTTCCAGGGGAGTGAGGTTTTGTGTGCAGGAAAACAAGAGCTGCCCTAGGGAGAGCCAGACAGGCTGAAATCCATGGCTGTGGTTTTTCCCACCTCTCTTTCCAGTGGCTGGTCCAGCCCTGCCGATCTCTCATACCCCAGTCCCTAAGGCTCCCACCAGTGTCATTCCCCATGACTTTATTTCTTGCCTACTACACTCAAATAAGATTTGGGTTTCCGATAATACCTTTCCCAAAAGAAATTGCATGTTAACAGAAAACCTTAAATACTTCTCAAGTCTCAGTTTAACTCAACAAATATCAGTTAAGAGGACTCATTGCTGGTTACTGGGCATTCAGCACTGCAGATACAAAGAGGATTGAGATGATGTTCCTTCCTCAGGGAAAGGTGATGTACTGTTAAATAGTTCTGATATATAAATGTTATCAGAGAGGTTTGAGTGAAGGCCTGTGGGAGCCCCATTAAAGAAATTCTCTAGTTGGGACTAAGAAGAGGTACTGTTTGAATTCATCTGTGTACCCATTTGGATTATGTTTGGCTACATGTAAAAGAAAAACCCATGGTTTAATCAAAACAGAGGCTTTTAATCTCATGTAAAAGATGTCCAACACTATACAATTTGCAGCTGGTAATAGAGTTCCATGATATCATCCATATTCTTACTGTTTTTCTATCCTTCTTACCTACTATCCTTAGTACATAGCTTCTAGCCTCAAATTTACCTCATGGTTCCAAAATGGCTGCTGGAGCACTAGACAGCTCATTTAAGTTCCAGGCAAGAAGGCAGAAAGGTCAAAATTGATGTTCTCATTAAGGAACTTCTCTAGGAATTATACCCAACAAACTTCTTTCATTTAATTGGTCACCCAAACTTTTGTGGAAATAT